GCCGCGAAAATGCTCCGCAGAGCTATAAACAGGCGCTGAGCTGGTCAAAAACAGCGGTTTCAGAGCAGAAGGCTGCTCGATGAGGTGGAGGCTTTGCCCTGAGCTGAGGCCTCTAGCAAGCTGAGGCCCTATGGCTCTGCATGCCAAACACGTTATCTACACCTGGAACTAACGTCCTCAGAGTGATGTTTGTTCCTCGATCTGCGGCGTAAAAAGAACCAAAAATATCTTTTGGAGTCACAGCCTGGTATTTCAGTCTGCAAATGTTTCTCTCTAGTCTTCTGATGTTTTCTGATATTCCACGGGTGCTTATATTATATGCGCTTGTACACAAGCTACGGGCGCTTGTTGGTGAGGTGTGGCTTGTCAGGTATGTGTAGTGTAGGCTTGTCCACCGGTATCTTGGAAGCAGCTGGTAGTGATGAAAATGATGTGATTGGAGGTCAGGGCAGTTAGATCTTGGAATGAAAGGTAACTTAATCCATTATGAGAATCCCCCACGTCTGGCAGCATCCGACCAGAAGAAAGGACCCAACAGTCTGCAACTTCTGAAGTAAACCCTTGGAGACCAACCAAATCCAAAGAAAATCGCTAAAGCATATCCCTACAGGTCAGGGACAGACCTCATGAATTACTGGACATGGTCATTCCAAAAACATGATAGGAACCTGCTGGAATACTAACAGGAATGGCCTCCAACCTACTAGGAAGGGCCTCCAAGCTACTAGGAATGGCCTAACCTAATAGCAATGGCCTCCAACACTACTTAAGGAGGTCAAGACCAGGTTTGGACCTGGGTCAGACTGGACGTACGTAGGGGAGGATCTGAAGTCATTTGATCGAGGGACCCGACGAAGTCAGTCGACGGACTCCAAAACCCGTAAGAACGAACCAGACTCAGACCATTCATGGAATAGCCACACCCAAAAGAGGTCATAAATGGTTCCATGTATATGCTGTACTGTATACGTAACATGTCTTGCGGTAGAAAGCAAGCGTTTTGCGAGATCCGATGGGGCAAACTACGAATTCCACGAACCATTTCCTGTAAGACTCCAAGCTCGGGCCACCGAAACGCAGGGGTCAGGAGCTCAAAAACCATGTGAGGGCCTGGATTCTTAGAATAAATCTCGATATTCCATACATGGACTGACTCATGAGGAAAACGATTCGATACCAACCAAAATCCGGGAAACCTCTTGCATGCAGCACTCTGAAAAAAGTAACGACTTCGAGTTTCTATCAGGCACCCGATCTGCCACTCCCTGTATATCTATATCAGCACCACAGTATATAGGGTGCTGATAGACACCCCTGACTACGCGCGCATTTTCCCTCCAATCACCACCCTTTCTCTGGTGCTGGTCGTGTTTGGTCTAGTTTATAATTCAGTGTGGTCAAATATGGTCAAACCTTTTCTCCCCTCTGCCTTTCTTCTCTCCCTCGCCCCCCCCTCATCGGAGATGGCGCGTTCTTTTCAAACACTTGGAACCTCAAAAGGCCTCACCCTCCAGGCGATTCCTTTTGAAATCCATCATCTGATCCGGGTGACATCTGACTGAAACGACGGTATAAACATGTATACCCAGGTCGATCCAATGATGAAAAATGCCTGCCCAACTTGGCTGGTTTTGGGGGGATGAACAGGGAGACATGTTGCATAGGAAGATCTAAAGTAAGATCTATGTGTACGGTATGCAGGTCTTCCACCACCAAAATCAGGAATCTGCATGGAAGACCTGTTGGATCTGCCACAACGTGCAATCAAATCCCACACGGATGCCAGACCTTCCACTTCATGAAGGTCTCAGTTTGTACCATGGGTGAAGTCGCACCTGTTGTAAATTCATATTTGTTGATGCATGGGTTATGAGTCATATCATCATATCCTATTTTCAGATATCTTAAGTACTTGAAGCCGGGCCCCAAATGCGGCATGTGTTTCATTTGCCCAAGCAGTTTCACACCTCCGATCTCTTCTTCGCTTCTGAATCGCGCCGGCCACGTGTGCTTCGCTCGCGCTTCTCGTGCTAACTCGTCGGCCGTCACCCGGAGTGCCACTCACTCCGGTTCTCCACGCACCGCGTCGGGGTGTTGGAGCCAAAGGAGGGCCGATCTAAGATAGCCCTCGCCACGGCGGGCGAGGGAAAGTACAAACCAGCGGCAGCGAGTTGAAACTGGGCACACCTGGAAGCGCACCTGGAAGCACACCTGCGGGCATGTCGGGTTGAAAAAACACATGTGACATGTGAAGGTCCAGCCTGGTCACAGTGGCGTCGAACGACGCTCAAAAGTATAGAATCATAAGTCCGACATTGATTCACCCTGCACCCCACATTTCACTGAATCCTCCTGCAGCATCTTCCAAAACACGTCCAAACTCGCCATGTGTTTCACAAAACATGGCTTTCGACAGCTGCTTTTGACAGCTGCGTGTCTGAACCCATGCGAACCGGCCTCACACGACGTCTCATCATGTCTCGCTATAGGCCACAAAGGGATGTTCCAGGCTCTCCCGGTCCTGCAACTCGGTCGATCTGCGGAACAACAAACGAACGACGACCACACGTCCGCCCCAAAAAGGCCAGGCCGCCATGACACGCTCGACGTAGCTGGATGGCGTCTTGAGAAAGAATCCCAGAAACTCAAGAAGCTTCGCGTCTTCATTTTTCTCATTGTTGTTTTGTTCCATCGAACTGCTGCAGACTTGCCATTGATCTTCTTGTCCCAAAACACATGCATCCAAATCTCGCATCCAACTGAAAACCCTTAACCCCAGATGGAAAAGCAAAACTCTCTCCCCCTCCCAAAACTCGAAGCAAACCGAAGACAAGCCTTCCTCCACCCGCTCTCCACCGCGGCCGCTCCACGGACCTCGCCCACCTCGACGGACGACGGACCTCGACCCGAAGGCGCTCCGTGCGCTCGGTGAGCTCGTGCGCCAAGTTCTTGGCGTCCAGGGCGATCCAACGAAGGCCCCTCGACGCACGGTGCCGCGCCTGGGGGGAGTCCGCGAGCAAGGAGGCCAGGAGTGGGGGAGTAGAGTGATGATGTGGGGGGGTGGGGGGTTGATGTCATCTAAATAGGAGGGTGAAGTGCAGTCATGTTGTGTATCTTTTCTTGGTCCAGTCAGGATTAGTTGAAATTATATGGAGTATGACTCCCAGGTGCAAAGTCATGAGTCAATACGGAAGCTCTTGGGCTGTAGGCTGATGTGAAACTCTATCCGACTCTATCCTTCAGGGTCGATTTGAGTCTCGCAGGTTTCCTGACGCTACGAACGGGGCTGGCATCGCTACTAGGAACAAGAAGCTACGAACGGGGCTCCTGGGCGTACTAGGAACAAGAAGCTATTATAGAAACAAGAATTCCCACCACCCGCCACTGTGCTGCAACCAGCCACCCGCCTTGCTGTGCTCACTCCGACTGCTTCCCTCGGTGAGTGAAACACTCCGAGTCAGTCCGGGGGGAGAGTCCGACATCCGTCGGTCGTACCGCATCAGACGTGGAAGTGGAAGGTCAGGTCGTGGAAAGCCGCCATGAAGCCATGGCAGTTGGCATTTAAGATTCACCCACCAAACCCGAAAAGACCAAATGTCATTACATGGCCTCATTTTTGTGTGACCATGTGCCACTTCCAAGTGAGTGGGGTATGGTGCACTTCCAATACTGTGCGCTATCGCCGCGCAGGCTGAACCTGCGGGTGACACGATGTGAGCAGATCGCTGACGGTGATCGATCATTCGCTGAAAGCATCCCGTTGACGGCAGGGATCGCTGCAGGGCAATCAGATCGCTGCGAATTCGATCGCTGCCAGCTGTGTGATCAAATTGTAGCTTCTTTCCAGCTACTGCAGACCTAGCTCCAGTTACTATAATAGTTACGGTGATGTTAAAGTGATGAGACAAGTCATGTAATAATATACCAACTCCGGGGTAAAGAACGGACGGCCCCAAAAGAAACAAGTCGACTAAGTCCAAGTGGCTTGAGAGAGGGACAGCGCCATCTCCTCCTAGTGCAGATGGAGCGCACGATTTGGATTCTCCACATTTTTCCGTATGTTTTCCCAGATGGTCATTTCATGTCATTTTTCTCTGGCAATCCCCACATCTGCTTCAACAACTCCCATGACCTTGAAGATCCCCAGAAGGCACGAGACGCCCCAAATCACTATACCTCGACGGACCGCCCGAAGGGTAAGCCAGCTGGACCCCTTCCAGGCAAACGCCGGACGGACCGCCCCTCCTTCCGGTGGGTTGCTTCGGTCAATGCTGTCTGACATTGTCTGACTCCGTTGATCAGGAGCCTGCCGTTTTCAACACACCACTCGTCCCCCGGTCGGCTTCGCCTCGCCCAAGGCTTCGCTGCTCGTGCCCGCGGCAAACTCCGGTGGTGCCAAAAGCACGTGCGGTCGCGGCGAGGGGGGCCGCTGCGGCGCCACAGCGTCCTAAGAACACCAAGAAGATCCAAGAAGGCTGGAGAAGGGCTGTTCATTGAAAGCTGGCAAAACATGGACTCTTTCATGGAACCCTTCTGGACATTCAGAACAAGGGCCTGTGTTTTAGAACATCACGTTTGCCGCACATTCAAAAATACGGGGTATTCATAAAAGAGAAAAAGGACATATATAGAACATGTTGATGAAGTGTGCAGCTATCAAACATGTTCGACAGTGCAAAAAACAGCAAGCCGCTGTGGACACTTTTGAGCCGATGTCACAGTCGAGGGGTGGTATCAACATGCTTTGAGCAAATCCTTTTTTTTACCGTCCTGGGCCAACATCTGCTGGCAATCTGACTCCCGATCAAGCCAGGGGTAGTCGATTCAGGAGTCTCTCTGTACCTGGACCATCCTGTCTGGTTGTCCAAGATCCCCAAGTAGTGTTGTCAACGCCCGTACGAATGGCGACGTCACGGGCGCTCGTGCTTTCACCTAGAGCGAAGCGTAGCGAGTTTGGCTGAGGCGCCTGCGGATGTTCTTAACCCTTGCTCATGTCCAAGTCAACCATGCATGTCACGATCATGATTTCTCAGCTGCTCCAATCTCTTCTTTGCTTGAGACATGAACAAGGAAATCAAGCATCCGGCAGGCCTAGGCAACAGCTTCTGGCGATTCGCCAATTCGGTGAGATTCTCACCGTGTTCAAGTTGCCTCCACACACTTCGGCCATCCTCCAGATCAAATTTCCCGAAGGTGGACCGCACTGGATACTTGTTGGCCCCAAAACGGCCATCTGGCACCCTGAAAGATTTGGCTCCGTAGGCCACGTGCACCGCCATGTCAGGCCTCTCGTGCCAGCCGGGTTGACCACTCAGCTTCAAAACAAATTGAAACATTTGGGAACGCTCATCTAACGGCTCACCTGGCAGCTCAGCAGTCATGCCGATCTTCTCTGGCGTTTTCTTCTTTGGGCTCTGCTTGACATAGTCCTGGTGGTAGACGTAGCTCCACTTGCCTTTTGCCAGGATCTCCTGCATGTGGTCTAGCGGCATAGCCTTCGTCCCAGCATCCACCCACATGTTGGCAGTCGCCGTCCACTTCAGGCTGCTGTTGTAGCCATTGAGGGTCTGTCTCACCCAAGCTACGGCAAAAGCCATGGACTTCTGAGCACCATAGGTCGGGCAGTCGGAGTTACCGCGGTCGTAGGTGTCCTTGGCATCCGTGATGGAAACCATGGGGATTTCCTCCATCACTTTGAGAGAATCCCGTCGGCCAGTAGGGAGACCAAGGAAGGTTGCTAGGCCACCCCGGCAAAAGATTCCCATGTCCATGCCCTCCTCAACTCCCATGAGCTCAGCTCCATAGGTCGATCTGCATACTCTTGGAAGCCGGTGTGATCGAGCATCCACAACATTGAAGCACCCTTCACGGCCGTTCATGAGGTTGTGGTCACCAATGATTACAAAGTAAGCCGATTGGCTATAGAGTTTTTCAAGCACATCGCCTTCACAGCCTCCTTCTCGAAGCACGTTTCCCAGGGAGGAGTCAGAGACCACCATGATGCCCGCTTTTGACAAATCCAAAGCTTGAAACACCAAGGAAAAATCGGGACGTCTTTTGAACTCCTTCACCAACTGGTTGGCTTTTTGCAGCGTCCCAATCACTGGCTTCTCACCTTGTAGGGTGCTGAGACTATAGCCCTGATCGAATCGGACCTGAGCGACGAGCCACTGAAGGGAACCTAAAACGGCTCGGAGTTGTCGGCGCTCACTTTCACTGAGCTCAGCTTCGGGTGTCTTTCTCCTGCTCAGAGGGATCTCCACGGGCGAGAGGTTGTCGTGGTAGGCCTTCATGCTCACCGATATGGCGCCATCAGGCTTCATCTGGATTCTCTTCCCGCAGTAAACAAAATCATCATATTCTACACTTCCGAAGCCCAGCTCCTTTCCAATGGTCAACAGGCTCTCCTGCGCGGTAGAGTCACCGCCCAGCAACAAGTCATCCACGTGGGAGATGATGATGCCACGAAGCTTCTTGCGGTCATCAGACCATTTGAGCCAGCATGCGAAGTCGAAAACCGTCCTCTCCCATCCAGCTGCTTGCAAGGACTTGTTGAGGCGCAAGTACCATTGGCGGGGCGCATCTGAGAGTCCAAACACTCCCTTGCGGATCTTTGCCAAGCAGCTCCCAAAAGGCAACTTGGGCTCCTCACCCTTCACATTCTCCAGAAAGAGCTCCCGCTGGCCATCCACATAGGCGTCTCCCTTCAAAAAGGCAGACTTCACATCAGCGGACATGATCCTCCATTTTTGCTCCCGTGGTGTTGTCGGAGTGCTATGACTGGCCGTGAATGTGAAGAGCAAGTGTTGAGACACACGGGACCCCGTAGGGGCATCTTTCCTGAGGCTGTAGGAAAAGATGTCCTTGTACCCTGGCACGATCACTCGAGCTCTTGCCTTGAGCGGCAGGGGGTTGAGAGCCGTTCGAAGTCCTTCATGCCGGTCGGTGAAGACATACCTGGGAGTCAAGATCTTGCTGCCTTCTTTGTTCGCCAAGAGCCGCCTTCTCACACGCTCTGATTCTTCTGGCGTCAAAACTTCGATTGCAGCATTTTCCTCCCATACTGACCATGCTTGCTCTGCAGCTTCAGCAAATGCCTTCTTCTCCTCACTGGACATAGTCCTCCATCGAAACTCCTTGCGATTTGCTTGCACTGCTTGGACTTCATGATCGGGCTGACTTCCATTGGGCCAGCTCAGACCCAGTTTCTGATGGGCCAACCACTCCGATCTTGACGGCAGGGACCATTTTCCATGCCAGGTGCCATGATCTGGTACTTCAGCATCTAGTGGAGACTGCTTGTCCAGTTCAGCCTGCAGGAAAGCTCGTCTCAATGGGTGGAGATTTTCCTTCTTCAGCTCCGCCTTGATGACATCAACGGCTTCAGTCACCAGGGTCTCTTCCGTCACTTCTGCAGGCGTTGAACTGCTAGCCTCTGCTCGAGGAGTTCCTTGTTCATGGCCTTGTTCACGAAGAGCTTCCGCATCCAGCTCAGCTGGACGTTTGAGGCTTCCTTCAATTTCTCGGACCCTCTCACGAACTGAGGTCAAAGGCAGTCCTGAAGGTCGTCTTCCCATAGCCAGTCTGGTGGCCTGAGGAAAGGGCGTATCTGAAAAATCGCTAGCCCGTCGCGACGGCAATGAGGAGTCTACCTGAGAAGAAGCGAGAGCATTGGAGGGAACCATCATCTGCCAAAGCTCTTGAGGTTGTACGGGAGGTAGATCTCTGCCTTCCAACTGGTTCTCATCGGCATTCATTGTCGCATTGGACGGAGGGAGAAATGCGGGTGTCGAAGGATTTCCAGCTGCCACAGGGGTCTCTGGTAGGACCGGCTGCTGAGGTGCTTGCCACCCTTGATTGCCATCACTCTGAGGATTCCTCAGGGCTTGCTCATGTCGAGCCGCATCCACCGCCTCCTTGGTCGCTTCCGACCAAGCACCGGAAGCTATTTGCTCCATAGTGGAAGCCAGGCGGACATGCTCAAGAGCACACTTTGTGAGTTGTCCCTTGTAGGAGAGGAACACGGAGGCGTGCCCATCCATCGCCACCATCATCGCAGGTCCATGCCATCTCTTTAAGGTGAGCTTCTTCCGGCTCTGAGACATCTTGTTGTTGTACCGGAGAGGGCGGTAAAAGTAGCATATGGAACCTGGAGTTGGTGCAGCCTCCATGGTAGTCGACCGAGATCTTGCCAGTTCCGCTTTGCGAAGCCCACGAGAGAAGTGCAGTCTTGTCATTGCCAGCTTTGCAACCTCTCGCATAGCTATCTGACGAGCAAGTGAAGGCTTGGACTCAACGAGCCCATGTTCACCAAGTCGCTGCTGGATGCCTCCCAGCACATCACCAATCATCCGGGGTTGACGTCCAAAGGCAGCTTGAAAAGGAGAACAGCCGGATTCACCATCCACATCTCCATTGTAGGCGGCGATTGCCTCGCTCAGAGCCATCTCCATCTCAGAGCGGTTCACGATGCTCTTGGCGGCCACGATTGCACTCAGGATGGTCTTCAGGATGCCTCCTGATCTTTCGGCTACGCCGTTTTGCCACGGCGCCTGAACGGCAATGTGGTGCAGCATAATGCTCATTGAGCTTGCCCACTCTTCCATCTCCCAAGAGATGAACTCTCTTCCTTGATCACACACCAAAACACGGGGCGGCCCAAACATAGCCACCCATCTTTTGCTCAGGAACTCAATCACTGCTGCCGTAGATTTGTTCGGCAGCACTTCTGCCACTTGAAAGCGAGTTGCCGCGTCCGTGCAGTGACAGACATAGTATTTCTGCTCCTGGCAGTCCTCGACCTCCAGCAAATCCACATGCACTTGGTCACCAATGTCTTTTGGACGAGGGAGACTGGCAGGTCGCCGAGCTTTGGGTGGAGCCTTCTCCTCACAAACGGCACATCGATGTCGTTTGGCTGCAACAACTGCTTCCGGAGGTGCCCCTGCTATAGCCAGAGCGCGAGCAAGTCTTCGCCCACTGCGATGCCCTGTGTTCTCATGCAACCTCTTGATGGCCAGCTTCACGCTTGCCGGAATGTTCATCTTGGCCTCTTCTGGAGAAATCTTCATCTCATCATCGTCAGAATCTTCTCCATAGCCGAGCGCACCATCAGGACGATCGACTTCTTCCTCCACAACCTCAGCAGCCAGCGCTTCATGGCCAAAGTCCTGTTCGAACTGAGCTTCAACTCCCCGCACCATGGCCTTTGCAAGGCCCATAGGGTAGATGCCCGCACGAGCTGTTACCCGGGAGCCACCGATGACAGGAGAGTGGGCATGGTCACGCTTGCAAACCATTCCATTCAACATGTCAATCACCTTCGAACTGGAACTTGCCACCAAAGTTGACTTCCGTTGAGGGATGCCTTCCACACTTTTGAGGCCAAAACGGCACTGATCAAACACAGCCATATGAACATTCTTCTCCTCCAAAAACTTTCTCATCTCCGGCTCCCGCCATGCTGCAGAGGGCTTGGGGTTCTCAATGATGCAGTGCCGACCCGCCTTGAGCTGCATGTCAGCCAACTCCAAAGCAAATCGCATCAAGACTCGCCCTTCCTCCAGACGTCGAGGCCAGGATAGCTTTCCTTTGGTATTGAGATGTTGCAAAGGGCTAAAAGGGCCACATGGGAAGGCTAAGACCAGGCAAAAAGGTTTGTCTTGTGCCAGCTGTTTCTTGGCTCGCTCTCGATGGCTAGCCAAAAGAAAGTTCCACCCCGTCTCCAGGCTCAAAGCAGGTCCAACGGCATGACCACGGTCGCGGGCGACTTTGGACACATGTTGTGCTGTCGTGTAGACCTCAGCCAGAAAAGGACGGGGATCAGAGCCATTCGTCTTCTCATTCACAAGGGACTCATGGAACCTGGGCATCAAATCAATCACTTGGAAGAAGGTCTCATCATTCATGTGGGCCTCCATCTCCTTGAAGAACTCCGCCTCAAGGACATGGCGAATCCGCTTGGGTTCCTGGGAAATCTTTCGGCGGTCAGCCTCATGTTGATCCCAAGCTTGGCCAATCAGACTCGCAACACCCGGTTTCAGGCACTGGTGGATGACATACGGGTTCACGGATCGAGGACCTGAGCCCTCTCCTCCGGTGTCAGGAACATCACGTTCTCCTCCCCGTAGTGAGCAGCCAACTGCTGCTCGAATGCTCCCTCCAGGGACCAGGCGGCATCTTGAAGAAGTTCCGGCGTCACTTCCATCTCTCCTCCGGAGCCGGAGCTGCTTGACACCGTCTTCGCCAAACTGGAGAGGTCCACCTGCGTGCCCTGTTGACGTTGTTGTCGAAGCTCTTGGATCTCCAAGGCCATGTGGTCCAGGGTTGTCTGAAACCGGTTGCGCATGTCGATGAGGTGTTGATAGGACACCATCCCGGGAGACGGCTCTGTCACCAGACCTGCACTGTAGCCCACGGTCCATCCTTGAGCTTTGGTGGCTGCTGGCTTCGCTTTTGATTTCGCCTTGCTGGGAGCAGGTGTAGGCTTCTCTTTCAAGACCTGAACGATGGGTCGGACCTTGTTCTTGAGCATTTCGACGTTGTCCTCGGGGTCCACCTTGACGTTCAACAGAACTGCCAACCTGATCAGGTCTCCTCGAAGTGGTGGAAGTCCACCGCGAGGTCCGATGAGCGAGCGAGCCAGTTCCTCCTTGTTCCCGGCCTGTTCGGCCTGGAGGGCCTCCTTCTTGGCTTCTTCCAAAGCGGCGTCTCTCACCTTCTTCCTCAACCCCTTGGCGGCTTTTGCATGAATCATTCCCGTCAACACAGGGTCTTCGCAGAAGGCCGTCATCATGCCAAGTCGGTCTCGCCAATGCATGCACTCCACCAGGTTCTTGTACACGAAGCGGTCCATCGTGTAGGCCATGTCCAGGTGTCGCTTGCTCGCATGACCATCTGCCACCTGTTGTTGACCTTGCCGCAACCAAAGGTCCGGGGTGCCCGAAGATGGATAGGGCAGCGGCAAGTACCGCAAGTAAGGCCTTGGCAGGGCCCATTGTGTAGGTCAGGAAAGCGCTTTGTCACAGTTCTGCTCTTTGAGCTGGGTTCCTTTTCCTTGTGAAGCCGAGACAAAATCTTTCTGAGATTGCTGTCGCTGACGCCTGCAATACCCACACACTTGTCAAAGTCATCCTGGAAATTGGACGCCTTCCTTTTCATGTACCATGATGAATTTCCATTGCTGGGAGCAGCTGGATTGGGCTTGTATATAGTAAAGCATTTACATTTGTGATAAGAATTTCCAACAGCTATCTCTATGTAGGTTGTATATGTTTTTTTGAAATTGCCATGAACATAAATAAGAATATAGGAGATGTTGGTTATACACGTATCAAGGTAGATGTATATATATTGATGTTTAACATTTATGTGTCTTTTCATGTTGTTCTTGCTGATAGATTGTTTTTTGAACAAATCTCAAACAAGGCTTTGTAAGCCAAGATCTTTTCAAAGATAATGTATATAAAGTCAAAAGCGGCATACCGCTGAAAAATTAAAGCGGCATACCGCTAAAAAAGAAAAAGGAAAAGCGGCATACCGCTGAAAAAGCAAAAGCGAATATAATACCGCTGAAACCAACCCCCCCCGAAACCACGCGCCTTTTTTTTCCATCCTGCAATGGAGGTCTATTTCAGAAAAGTTGCTGCGAACCAGTTCCTCCAAAAAGGTAGGTTCTTTCCTGCCCTCTTTCGTTTGTGGCCATTGTGTTGTTCTGACCACTGTTGTCTCTTTGATCGCTGCCTCTCACCAATCTCTTCAGCATAGCCATTCAAGTTGCCATCATCCTCTGTTTGGCCTGTGTCGTCACTCTGCCACCATGAGCTGTCATCTTGCAAACCATGGTGTTCCGACCAGCCATCTTGCTGTGCTTGCCATGCTTGGTGTTCGTCACTTTGCAACCATGAGCTGCCATCTTGCCATGCATGCTGTGTCTCTGCAACCTCCGACCAGCTTCCACCCTGCCATGAACTCTGCCATTCTTGTGCTGGTTGGTCTGAGTTTCCGGAGCTTTGTGGTAATGCAGCTTCACTGGAGCCTTGCCGCCATGGAGCTGTAGAAAAAGTCTTGCCTGCGTCACTGTCTTGAGTGCGTCCTTCTGCTGAGGTGTTGCCATGTGTTTGCTGAAGGGGGTCTAGTGTTTGCTGCGCTTCTCCAGCACTCTTGTCTTTTGGTGCTGCCTCCAAAGGCTCTGCAATGTCCAGCAGGGTTTGCGACAATTGTTCTGGAATCAGCTCTTGCGTCTCTTGAGCCTCCCAAGCTGCCTGAGATTCAGCCAACTTCTTGCTGATTGTTTGGTCGTCAAGTGCATCATTTTCTGACTCAACTACCTCACCTCCATAGTCTTCATGGGATTTCATTTTCTCAGCTTCATCCCAGCAGGTGTAGAACGCCTCTTCCTCTTCATCTGCAAGTGCCCATGCAGAGTAGTAGTCAAGAAGTCCATCAGAGCTGGTTGCCTTCTCATCCTTGTGGATATTCTTGTTGGTCTCCCTTCGTTGATGTTTGCGAAGTACTTTCCATGGCGGCTCTTCAGACTCTTCAGTATAGGACATATATATGCCTACAAAGGAAGCAAGAAAAATATTTATGTACACATGCACTAATTGTCTTATAGCACTTTTGCTCTGCGTGTGATAGAGTTTGAGCCGGCAAACATGAAAAGTAACAAAGCTGACAAGGCTTCAAAGTCTTCCAAAATCCAAGAAGTACAACATCATTGCATACAATATTCAAAGATTGCTTTGGCAATGCATGTCTAAGTACACCTCATGTAAAATAGCGGTGGGGACCGCTGCAAAGCAGTATATAGCAGAACAGCTCTCAATATTTTTTCGAGCACACATGGCGGCAGCAGCTGCTTGAAATCTAAGATCCTAGAGTCTCAGCCCAGGCTCATCCAGCACCTCTTGAGGGATCCAATCGTAGCTCCACACCCACTTCTTGTTCACCATGCGCCATCCATTCTGGAAGAGAGACTGCTTCTTGAATTGTTTCCAGGTCGCGGAGGGCGGTTCATGATAGCTTTTGTTGTGTTGCTTCATGTCATCATATTCTTCCCAAGTCAAGGCCACAATCTCTTTGATGTCTCTGCCTTGGTCATCACGTGTTGAATAGTCTGCCCAGGAAAATGCTGGCTTCTTGATCACCTTCATGGATGATGGACTCTTGCTCTTGCTAGCTTTGGACGTGCTAGCCTTGCCCTGATTTCCATAAGTCTTTGCTGCTGGCTTTTTCTGAATGGTCTTTGTGACCTTCATGGCCATGCCTTTTTTTGCCATTGCGTCTCTTTTTGAGTACCAAAAGTGATTGCCAAAAGTGCAAGTTCTCTGAGCCTAAATGGTTATTGCATGTTTGAACAAAACATATTCCTTTCAAAGCAATCAAAACACAAATAGACATAAATTATGTATTTTTAAAGGATATGTATTTGGACATACAAGCACAATACCATCCGTATACCAACCGTCTACCACCCGTATACCACCCGTATACCACCCGTATACCACCCGTATAC